CATGAAAAGAATCAAAGTCCATTCGGACAGTTCAACTTTCTAGCTCTGCGAAATTGCAAGAGTAATTTATTCATATTTCTAAAAAATATGATAGAAAAAATAAAGTATCAATTTGCTTCAGGTACTGTAATTCTGTCGCATGGCACTAACTCAAAATTGATCGTATTTAACCATCACATTCTGCAGTAAAAAACATCCAACACTTCCATCTGGTTCTGATTACAGAGGTATTTGAACACTTGGAATCCAGATATAATGGAAATGGTCAAGGAAATGTACAGAAAAGTAGGAAAAGTCATATGGATGGCAGACATATCATTCATTTAAAAAAAATGTAACTTGCAGAAGCATTTTGAAGGTGTGAAAACATTTGGATCACGTAGTGAACAGATATTGTGAGAAGGTAGATGCTAACTGCTGTAAAGATTATTTTCTCCAAAACTTCCATGTGGATTAAGTTACAAAAGCAAAGCATAAACTGGAAAGGTTTATGGCTTATTCAAGATGAGAAACATCTGCATAAATTGTTACACTGACAACTGTTGCACTGCGTGCTTTGTAGGGGGGTTTACGGATGATGATGTAACCAATGTGTGAAGGAATTATTAAATGCAGCCACCTTCTATATTGTTAAATTGCTAAAAACATATAAAGGGACTTCCTACAGATCTGATTTGAAACAGCTGTCAGCCCTGTAGGACAGGTAAAGTCAGACAACGTTATCTTAACCCAGACTAGAAGAGTTCAACCAAGTTAAAAAGTAAAAAGTAAAAGTTAAGCAATAATTCAACAAAGATGTCTATATGAATTATTTAAGAGTTCTAAAATACACTGGCACCTCATTATAACTGTCTGTGGGGTTTATCTGTAAATGGAAAAAAACACAATAGTACTGATCTACTTTAGCCTTTTCACACTTGTCTGTGGTTTATTATCTAGTGTGTTTTCGTGCTTCATTTTCTCCAAGCTCCTCATCACATTTGGCTGACTTTGACTTTTTGTGACTGCTTTTATGTAGCGTTAAAAATGGCTGAGATTCTGCATGTATTTATCTACACTCTTACATCATCATTTACTTCATTACTGTTGTGATGAAGAATGTTGTGCCATTCTCAAATAATATTCAATTTTGCACTTAGCCACTACCACTTCTAATTAGGTGTGATCTTCACAAGCCTGACAGCTAATTGCACGCAAACACCTTTAGCTCAATTCACTTTACATTCAATTAAAGAACACAAAAGATGGATGAAAGCGTCATTGGTACAGCTTTCTAATAAAAACAAGCAGGAGCCTAAACAAAATGACATTCTAACTGAACTGTTAAAATGACCTTTAAAATTATTCCTGTTCTTGACTCTACATCTTCCCGTTGTGTTACCATGATTGTAAAAAAGGTATCCAACTGGCTTTTAAAACATGCACTATTGAAAGTGGAGACACAACCTCCTAGGCTGATCTCATCAGATCAAAGCAGCTAATCAAGACTGGGACTCATCAGCAATGTGATGGGGGACCTCTTGGGAAAATGATGCTGGTAGACCAGTAGCCTTCACTCTGTACAACTTCCAAACCAAAGCCCCAGCATGGTGACTATACTGTACAACAGTGACACTGCACTGTAGGAGGTGACATCCTTTAGATGAGAAATTAGTCATTAAATATCTCATGGCACTATTCACTAGAATGTCCTGGCTAATTTCTACTTTGTATTGGGCTTGCTCAATCTTGCCTTCCTAAATTTCCACCCTCGGTCCAACTGGAGATGTCATTGCTCACTTTTCCACTGCGGGCTGCTGGCTCACAACGGGTTTTGTGCAAATGGGTTTTGCACTTTATTGGTTGATGTAGTGGGTCCTCTCCTATAAATGAAGTGCTTTGGAACCACCTGGGACGGAAAAGGCTGTACAGATGCAAGCTATTATGATTTATTATTGGCTCCTGGTAACATACCGTACTGTCAGAGGTCCAGCTTCTTGTGGAAATCAGACCTGACATTGTGACATATGGAGCATATGGAACTATGCAAGGCAGGGTTAGTCATGCAATATCAAACGAGTACAATTTGTTTTTATTTCCAGCTGCCTGAAAATAATGTTGTGGTAGAGGAGACTGTGAAGCTTCTTCCAGGTTACATGTGCTTTGTGGGCTGAGCCCAGCTTTCCAAGCGGGAGCCACCACTGCTGTGTACAGTACATACCTCTAACCTGCTCCAGGAGGGGGCTGTGTCTGTTTTCAGGAAGGACTGCAGGCAAAGCAGGAGAAAGAGAGGAAAGAAAGAGGGATAATAGAAAAAGGGCATTTTAGGAGCGCAGTCATTCAAAGGACTCCCACCCAGCCTGTGTTTCTGAATGTTACTTATTGTAATGCTGAAAGAAAAGGCTCATGCTGACACTGTCTTTTGGATTGTTCAAATGACATTTTTGTAATAAATGGCAATCAAATTATTTCATAAAAGCATTAGTGAATGTGTTTATAAACAATGAGTGTAAGGTAACTAAACTGTTTTATGTTGAAGTTCTTACCCATTATCCCAGGTCCCTGGAACAGAGGTCAGGCCAGCTCTGTACGCTTTGATATTCCCATATACAGCTTGTAAAATATTAAACCAGTCTAACTAATTTACTGAAGAAATGGCTCAGCCCACTCTAGGTCTATTTAGTAAACTAATGTATTAACTCTTCATTGAATGTATAACCCCTCAACAATCAACTTTTTTTAAACCTGTATACTGTTTTGTCATTACTGAAAACAATACTGCACATAAAGATTAAAAGCAGTTTCCGTCAGTAACACTTAATACTTTCCTTTCTTAGAGGCTGGCAGATCCCAAACAAACCTCTGTACCATGTGAACATAGACAACATTCTTAAACATTTGCACCTAGTGCTTGACTAAAAAATATGAAAGAAAAGCACACAAAGCTAGGAATAAAAAGTATGAAAAGCTGGGAAGTATGAGTATACAATTTCCATATTAAATCAGTACTCTGAAGAGTTCTGTAAATTCAGCAATAATAAAATGAGATGAACATCAGATGTGTGTCGAAAGTGAAGTGTTTTCAGTGAATGTAGCTAAGAGCCCTGTAGGCTAAACTGACTGTTACTGTGAGGTGTGTTTAGACTCCTGTGATAAACATTTGGAGATTTATTGTGAGATTGTTTAAGCCTTGCTGACTGACATGGGGCTCTGCTTCCCACATGTAAGGCTACAGGTTTGCATTTCGTTATCATTGCAGGTAAATGATGCAAAGGTTCGGTGTGTGTGGCTAATTTAATATAGAAGGAGTTGCCTCACTTTCTGCAGCAAACAGGCTGCTGAGTAGTCAGGCTCCTATCAGTTTTTTTTATTCTCATTCTCTATTTTTATGTACAACAGGCCTGTCTGATCTTGAAGTGTTTTCATTCCCAACAATACAATAAAAGCAGTTAACATATACTTCCACAACTGTGATACCCTGTAAGATCAACAAGAGCTCCAGCTGAAAAGCCACACTCAGCACAACAAAGCTGCAACATACAGTACCGTATACATAAGACACCTTGATGCAACATGCTCTAGTTATTTTGGAATAACCACTAGAAAGGTCCTGTATTTTACAATAAAAGCACAATTTAAGCTTTTAAAAATCCCTTTTATATATAAATAATACAGAACTTACCATTAAATAGTATTGGCATAGTAATAATAGTACCATGCATTTATGTAAACAGAATCATCTTCTATCATCCAGTGTGTGCAAAAATATCTGAATTATCTGAAATTGCATATTTCATATACTGCTTTCAGCCGTTTTGCATCCCAGTTTTAAAACCATGAATCCTGTCTTGCTTATAAGCTATTTATTATCTGTAATAGGTTTAGTCGTGGGCTTTAACATGCAGTAATGAAACGAAATGTTTGCCCTCTCATACACGTTTGTTTTTCACATTTCTCATTGTTAGCAGACAAAGATCCTCTGTCAGATTATTCATTCCAGAGGGTGAGGTCACACTGAGAGTGTTGATTTAACTGAAAACACTCCAGGTTCACCAGGAGAAAGTCAAATGAAGGGCAGGACCTCTGAAAACAAGCCCCTCTATCTTGCTTGGTGTTCACACAGGAAAGCCTTTGTTGCACAAACTATGCTCTGGGCATGGGCATAGGTTTAGTACATCGATGCTTTTCTTCATTTTGACAACCTGACAGGTTTGAAAACATGCCTGGTCATTACAGAGCTCCAGCTGACACCACTGAAGAACACCTGCACTAGAGGAAGACAAGCTCCAACTGAGAAAAGCACAAGAACCCCTGCCCTTTGGAAACAAGTGGTAATTGCTGCTGAATGTTTGCTAGGGCAGTGTGTACAGATCATTAGCTCTTTAATGAGCTCTGCAGCAAAGCAGCAAACAGGGTCTGAAAGAGTGGCAGCTGTCAATGACTGAGTCTGGTAGCCAGTTGTTTTAATGAAGGGGCACATGCAGAACCTTTAAGAATTCTAGCAGCATCTATTCCCTAAATCAATCTAATCCATCAATCCGAAACGTATTTGCATTTTACACTGTCTCTGCAGGTAGACGACGCTTCAATGGAAAAGGGGTCTGGCAATATAATTGACAAAACATTCTATGGAACTGAATACCAGGGGTGGAGGAGAGGTTTAGCATTAGCTCTGTCTGCTCTAAAGTGGTTCATACCATTGGTCCTCTTGATAGCAGTCACACTAGAATGAGCAGAAGCTACTAGGAGGAAAAGAACAAGACACAAATGGAACATTTTAAAGGTCACAGCCTTTCTGAAAAAGAAAAAAAAAAAACAATGAAAATAATCTTCACAAAACTAGAAAAACGGGACTAATCTGATGCGAACGGGAAAGTAACACTAAATATTACGGGTATTACACTCAATTGCACTACTAACCTGATCTGCTTTCTCCATCTGCTCTCCCGGAAGTTAGGCAATGGAAAGTCACTGATAAGGTCTGGCATGAAACCGGCTGAAGCAAAGCAATTCTCTCCATTTCAAACATACATTTCTTGTGTACTAACCCAAGAGCAGGAGTTCCGCATGCTTTTGCCCTGTGTTTCCTGAAGTTCTTGCGTGTGTTTGATGCACCACAACAACCGTACATTAGGAAAAAAATAATTTTCCTTCACTGACATTATTAACCAATAAAAACTGAGGTTCATTAAGTTTCTGAGTATTGCAGAAAAAATCTGGTTCCATGCAAGATGCTTCCATTTAATATAACTAATAGGGACAAACTGGGTCCATATGATGTTCCAGTTAATGAATGATTGATCTGAAATTAGTTATCTGATATATTTTGATTTCCTCTCATGACTTTTTTCAATGTTACAAATTCCAAACAATATATTACCTGCTTTTTTCTGGGTGTGCATTATATCATATATTTCGCTTATTGTGTTGACCTGAGAATTAAATGCTTCACTTTTAGGATATTTTAGTACATTTGTGACAGTGAGAGGAGCTGCTGAACGCTGGATGAAGGGCTTGTCATCTGCTTGGGAAATACTAATGTTTAAAAAACTGTCATATGTGTTGTACTGTATATCAATGAATCTAGGGAACACAACTAAGCCTATACAGCACAGGGGCTGTGCAAAGAGTGAGATGTGTGGGCAGAGTTCACTGGGAAGCAGGTTTAAAAAAGAGCTTGTGCTTGAGCAGACTGTGTGTACAGACTGAGATGACTGGCAAGATGGTAAATGTCAGTACTCACCACTGCCGGCACTGCCTTCCCTGCGTCCACGGGCACTACTCTCCCTGCCAGATTTCACACGCTACCCCGACAAAAAAGAGGCACTTGAGTGAATATCACAGTTCTAAACTGGATTAAAAAAAAAACATTTTACATTTAATCTTGAAGTGCTGTGTGCATTCCTCGATATATTCATGCTTTGTGTATAGCTAGATTGTAGTGCAATCTGGTCTTCTGTTAAACCATGTTGAGAACTTGGAAAATGAAGACTATCAGGCACCAACATGCTTTCAAATCTGACCAATAACAAACTGCTTTCCCAGTTCCCCTGCTTTGGTTTCTTAGGATGCAAGGGAAACTAAAGATGACTTTAGGTTTATTGGAGGATATAAAAGGACAATATCTAAGCCTCCCAATGTCAACGGGATGAAATGCTTTTAATCTCTTCATCTTTTATCATTTTTTAACCTTAGTGTGTAATATTGATAGTGATGATCAATTCTGGAGTAATTCTGTAAGCGTCAACATCTGCAAACGAGCCATCAGCCTGGATGGCCTTAGGTCTCTATGGATCAAGTGGAGAATGCTCACTGCTGAAGGTTTCTATGGTGGTGAGCAAACTAATTAGACCAAACATTACATAGTGTGAATAAAGACGTTTTAGAAGCAAGAATACACAGTCCACTAGGAAGAAAGTAAGCAAACATTCTGTGCCTGTAGTGCTTCATAGCTTATCCTAGTCCAGCAGCATTACACAATCACTTCTACAGCAGCTGCTTTTCATTTTCATTTTAGTTTTTCTTCTGAGGAGAATTTATCGGTTAGCTATGGCATGCTTTCATGCTGGCAAGATTGCTAAGTAATTGCAGATCAAAATTTGGTTGCTAAACCGTCAAATAGTTTTCCTTTACAAACAATACAACGCTTATAGGCTTACACATATAGTGAGCTTTATATGTAGTAGTTTCTAACCTAAGTGTCATCTGTCAAATGACACCTGCTTTATGTACATGCTTACACAGATCTTCAAAAACCATAAAATCAGTAATAACATTATGACAACGAACATTTTTTATACTTGTTTTCCCATTATATGTATGAAAGACATTCGCATGACATCTTTTTCAAACTCCGGGACAGTGGATACCAACAAAGTAAAAGTTTGAATGAAAGAACTGGGAGAATAATTGCTGTCAAGATGGATGTGGCTGCTCGATGCCAAGTACTACTGTATGTCACCGGAAAACAGAGAAGCACATACTGTAGAGAGACAGGCAGAGAAACACATGTAGAGAGGCATCGCGTATGCAGAGAAACGAATCGGCGCGACTGGGAGAAAAAGGACTCCCACTGAAGATAAATAAGGAGGCCACAGACCAGAGACAAACATTCCAAACAGGGAAAGACCGATGTGGAGATTATAGGGCGGTCTTGTTTTCAGACTTACCTGCTCTCTTATCTCCTTCATCTTCTCTACCTTCTTCAGCTTAGTGGCATAGTCCTGCACCTCCTTCAGTCCCATATCTGTACAGAGGCGAACAAGGAACCGCAGACCTGCACAGAGAACAGACAGCTTGACGCACGGAAGGCACCCGACTGCTACAACTCTTTTGTATCATTAGTTACTCTCTCCTGCTCTAGCTACGTTAAAGGACGTGAAGAGGAGGAAGGAATACATTACATTCTACATTTTCTGGAAATTTTCGGTGGATGTCTTTGTACGTGTACAGTGCTTTCTGGTAGTTTCCTGCCAAAAAAGGAAGAGATGTTCACTTTACTACTAAATAGTGCCTTAAAAACTGAAATGCTCAAACTTAACACTTTCACGAGTCAAAGAAGTCAAATATCAGCACCGGCCACCGTATATATCAAGAAATATAACAGTTCTACAAACTTCTACAGCTTCAAACACTTACAAATACTTTTATAATGAAAGAAAACTTTAAATTACTGCAGGGTTTAAATGAAGCCTGCCAAATGCGCAAGTAGAACAAATACATTCAGTCAGGGAAAATACTAAAATATTTTCATCCAGACCTTAGAACACTTCTAAAAGTGCAATTACACTTACACTGCAAATGATGTTTATTCATAACGTATCGAAATACTGTAAAGCAACTGACAAAGGGCAGAGAGTTATGACATTGGAACCTCACCACTTCTCCTGTAGCAGCTGGCTGCCATTAACTGCCATTTCACATGAGTTGGCCTAGAATTCAACAAACAAGCGTGGTTGACAAAACCCGAGATTAATTAGACCTACTGTATAGATACATTCAACCATGTATTTAATAAACGTTGAACACGCATGTATTTTTTGTCCAATATTGCATGTTTTAAATAATCGTACTGTGAAAGCTACCTGTACCCTTTATTAGCTCTGGGGTTTACTTCCAGTTGTGAGAAAAGAAAACAGAATGATTTAGTCCAGTATCTATATTATATTTCTGTCACCTACATGTGGTGCTTATGCCTTATTTAGCACACCAATAATATCAAATAATTCACAAATTAATAAACAGTAATGCTTCTAATCTCTTTGCAACTAGAATACTACAAACCTATGCTCTTAATATTCTAATTAGTATTAATAATCAGATCAATGCTGAATATTTACTATATTTATTATGTGCTAACCAAAAATATTGCCCATACTAATCCCAAAAATCAGACTTCTCATAATGGCCACATATTTGTACCCCTGAACAAATAACATCCTGGTCTCATATGACATGCTCCATATGAATGTATAAATTATTAGAGGCCTAGAGGTCTCCAGACTTGGTCCTGGAAAGCCAGAATCCAGTTACTCCAGTTATAGTTCACTGTGAGCCACTGGTTACATGATCATTTAATTCTTCCAGGCATTTAGGATATGAAGAATTAAATGCAAAACCAGCTGCTCTCCAGAACCAAGGCAGAAAAGAAGGTAAAAAAAGGTACGAAAGAAGGAAGAGGATTAAAAAATAATAATTTCTTGAATTTGTGAACAGTCAAAGCTATACGTTAGAGTTCTAATACTAAGAGATGTGCAAGTGACAACTAATGACTGAGCAGTGGAAAAACTCCTACTTACTGAATAAGGGCAGCTCTCTCAAAATACATAATTGCTTTTTCACAGAACTGAGTGTCAATGTAGTAGGCTCCCAGCCACTCAATCACATCGATGTTTGATGGGAAATACCTGAAAGCCTAAAGCACATAGTATCAGTAAAACTGTAAGAACACGTTGATCATTAAAAAACTTTCTCTCCATAATCTAATTTGTGCATACACATGCATAATCCAGACCTTTGTGTGCAGCTACAGTAGGTATTCGTTTGTCAATTTGGACGTGTGCATAACAGTGATGATGCAATCTTCACAACCTTGACCATGACAATGCCCACCGAATACTTTCTAATAATCATAAAAATAAATATTCCTTACACTCAGATAATGCTTTTCTAGACACACCACTCAAAGCGCTTTACAGGTAATGGGGACTCCCCTCCACCACCACCAGTGTGCAGCCCCACCTGGGTGATGCGACGGCAGCCATAGTGCGCCAGAACGCTCCCCACACACCAGCTCTCAGTGGGGAGGAGAGCAGACTGATGAAGCCAGTTCAGAGAGGGGGATTATTAGGAGGCCATGCGTAGTAAAGGCCAATGGGAAATTTTGGCCAGGACACCAGATTATTAATGTCCACAGAGAGTCAGGACCTCAGTTTTACGTCTCATCCGAAGGACTGTGCCTTTTTACAGTATAATGTTTCCGTCACTATACTGGGACATTAGGACTCACACAGACCGCAGGGTGAGGGCCCCCCTACTGGCCCCAGTAACACCTCTTCCAACAGCAACCTCAGCTTTCCCAGGAGGTCTCCCATCCAGGTACTGACCAGGCTCACACAGTTAAGGCTCTGTGTCAAACAGGTATTTAATTCTTCATCAGCAACTGGTACTTCACCCTGATGGGTCTAAACCGTCAAATAGTCTTGGTCCAAGGCAAATCTGAATCAAGCAAGACATAAATCCATACTCTTAACCCACAGAGATACATCTAGCACCCACTTAAAGAAAATATTTACTTCGTAGTAATACTGGAAGGCTTGGGACTTGTCTCCCTCGTTGTCATACATCTCTCCCAGCTTAGCTAAAGCCTGTGGATCAGTGGGCGACACACTTATCAACTGCATCAGCCATTCAATAGCCTGGTTTGGATCTTCCAGCATTTCATACCTGGGATTCTGTTAAGGAAGCTCATACTTCATAATTTTTTTTAAAGCTGACACGAATAAAATGGTGTTTGTTAAATCACAATTCCAAGAAAATTACCATTGTCACGTAAATAGCTGATCATCTTTAGGAGTAGCGGTAATTAAAGCGTGAACTGTGATTTCAACCGCATTGCACAAGGATTACAGAAGACTGCTCATTCTTGAACTTAAATATTAGGGGATCAGGATTTAAGGTTAGTGCTGAGTTTTATCTTTGTGACAGGAAAGCTCTTAAACTGTCATACTGCAGATTTTTTATCAGGAGATATGGCCTTGTAAAGTCTAAGGGCAATTTGCCAGTATAATACAAAAGTGACCTTCAGGACCTCTCAGGTTTTGAGAAAGCAGGCCACTAATGAGCTAATCAATGCATTTTTAGTATTATACTCTCTGAAACAGATGGTCACACCAGCAGTAAAACTCAGAAAACACTGAAGTCTCCCGAGCTGTCTCTTATTTTAATTGCAAGGCCTTACAAAAAGGTTGCGTCGAAGGATACAGACTTGCTAGCTGGTACATGACCTGGGCGCTGTTTCTCAGGATGGCATGCAGCTTCAGGAAGCAGTCAAGAGCCTCCTCCAGTCTGTTCAGCTTCTTATAGGTCAGGCCTAGGACAGTGGACACCAATCCGAAAGCAATAGGGAGAAAAAAAGGCTATGAGCAAAAACCGTTCTCTCTGGAAACATGTTTCGAATAACCCTGAGGGTATGCATGCTTAATTTTGATAACATCTGCTTTTGGTCAGTAAGCTAAAAGCAAAAGAATGTACGAAGGTAATACATGTGCTGCATGAACAGTTTATGGAAAAACCCATATAAAAAACAGGATCAAGTTTATTTAATAAGTTTTGCTGCAACCTTATTTTATAGCCTGTAACAAAATTTCTAACAATGAAAGTTGTGCGATATAGTATATAAACATATGGGCTGTTTCAATGATTAGCATATCCATTGCATACTTGAATAAAATCAGGCTGATCGAATGGGATAGGCTGACAAAGGCATCACGCACAGATCAGTCTCATCTATAATGGCCAAAGTTAAACATGCTCTGGGATAAGCGATCTCTAGCAAAGGCTTTGATGGCGATACTGTAAAGTTAAGTGATTCGCATTCTGCCTTTGATCACTAGGAGAGTTTTAGTCATTTTTACTTGGAAAAAAGAATCAGCTTCTACTAGGTTTCAAGGGATGCTGTCATTACAAATAAAATCCAAAAACAAAGCTCACTATCATATAATATGTATACATAAAGTTCCAGACAGCAAAGCAAGCTTACTGGAACATTTTGTAGAAATGAGTTGAAAACAGCAAACAGAGACTGACCTACGTTGTAGAGTGCCTCAGTGCAGGAGGAGTCATTTCTCAGGGCTTCTTTGTAGAACTCGGCCGCCTTCTCATAGTCTCCCTTCACAAACACCGTGTTCCCCTTGTTGACCAGAGCGGCTGGGTTATACCGATCCGCACTCATAGCCAGGTCCGCATACCTCTCTGCCTGATCGCAGTCATTCTCCTGTTTCAGAGCAAGCAGGCTTCACTTCACTTCATTTATCACATGCACAAACGCAATGCAAGTCAATCCAATTGATTTTTATAGAGCGCCTTTCACAACAAGGTTGCCCCAGGCGCTTAATGCAAGTAACCATACGTGTTGTGAATACAGACCAGAAGACAACGGAGGAGAGGAACCAAAAACTCCTTAGTAAAGAGAAAAACCCCTAGGGGTCCAAAGTCAACTGGCTGCCCAACCCCTTTGGGCGTGCTAACATTATAGAATTAAAAAAAAAAGAATGAAATGAATGAATAAAATACATGCAATGCTTATTTGCATGTATGCTCTGATACAAAGACATGAAGGAATCAACACGGAACAGCAGCAGCAGCAACAATAAAAAAGTTAAATAACGTACAACTTAGAAAGCAAGTCAGACAAGCAGTGTGAGAAGTGTGGTAGGGGTAGAGTTCAGGAATCCGACAGCTTGCGGAAACCTTTAAGAAGGTTCAGTGGGTGCTGGCCCACGCACACCTCACAGGAGGTCTACAAGAACTTACCAGGAAATAAAGAAAGGAGAGATTGGTGGCCGCAGCACTTTTTACCCTGCTGTCCTTCTTCTCAAACGTTTTTAGGGTTTCCACAGCCTAAAAAAAAAACAAATTACTGCCACTTTTTTACTTTACATTACTCATTTTTGATCAGGTGTTCATGTTAGTCATTTAATTTCAACTGATCATAAATGCCAACGAATTTAGATTTCAGCCCAAAATACACTTAGCACATGCTTTAAGAAAATGATTTTTTTTTTTAAAAGAATAGTTGGCAGAAGATGTTTGGAACATCAGCTAAAATATCTGAAAGAAGATGGGACTAGCCACTTAAAAAATTAAAAATTAATTCCCAATTGAAATACTGTATGTAAGCACACGTAAAAATTAAAAGTACTGTGAGTAAAAAAACTTGAATAGTACTGGAGTTTATCTAATGTTACTCAGATTTCAGGATGAATCATTCTTGCCTATAGAGCAAAAGACAAGACATAAAAACACAAGTAAGCCCACTGCCTGCATTAAGCCATCTTTTAAGTAAAAAAAAGCAACAATTGCTTCCTTATCAGTTCACTGTGATTTATTTAGGGATGTACTTCAACTTTTTATATAATTGTTTTGATTTATCACTTCTACTATCTGTAGAAAAAGAATGAACGTTCTTGGCTTCTGCACAGGCATTTGTTTCAGATAAAACTTAGTGCAAGTCTGCAATCAATTAAATTTAAGACAAAAATAATCTCACTTCTGGGAAATGAGGCACATGAGAAAAAGGAAAAAAATAAAAAGCAGTACGTCAGGTTATAATATCCATCCGTTCTCTGACTATTTCATCCAATTCAGGGTTGTAGGGGAGCCGGAGCCTCTCCTGGCAAGCAATAGGACACTGTCCATCTCAGGGCCCACACACACACCCTGGACAGGACACCTGTCCATCTGAGGGCACACACACACCCTGGACAGGACACCTGTCCATCTCAGGGCACACAGACTAACACTCACACACCCTGGACAGGACACCTGTCCATCTCAGGGCACACACAGACTCACACTCACACACCCTGGACAGGACACCTGTCCATCTCAGGG